CCCCAAAACCCCAAAACCCCAAAACCCCAAAACCCCTTTGGATAATGCAAGGATGGAAACAGTACTAATATTGTCTGAATATTCCTAAAACCTAGTTAAAGTAGTCATCTATGTGAGCCTCTCGAAAGGAGAATCAAAGACCAGGTCTCTCTGGATATAACTAGTTGAGGGGCTGAACTGTGCTGCTTCGATATCATCTTCATCGTCTTTTAACTCTTTATCCATCTCTTTCTTGGCCATCATTCCCATGTAGATCAGGAAAATTATCCCGATGACGATGCCAATAATTGTGAATAGTGATGAAAACAAACTGTTTGAGCTATTATTACACACAAATTAGAGATGCAAAAGAGGATTGATAAAAGGACTTACTTGCTCAATGAGCTGCCAATATAGAGCCCGAAGCATACTTCTGGGATAATACCTACATTCCCGATGAAGAAGTCAAGAAGCTTGAGAGAAGTCACTCCAACAACATAATTGCTGATATTATAAGGAAAGATTGGTGCCAGTCTGATTAATATAGATATTTTGATGCCCTTTTTACTCATCATTCTGTCTATGGCTCTAACAATTTTATGCTTTTCTACGTATGAGAGCACACATTGCCTGAAAAGATATCTACTTAGAAGGAAGGCAAGAGAACTTCCAATTTGGATGCCAATGAATGCAACAGGAAGAGCTCTGAGCATTATCTGAGGCACTGTTGTGTAAGCATTACTATAGATATATCCAATTGATAACCACTGGAGTGCCCCTGGGAGCATGAATATATTAGCAAGGATCAATCCTATACAAATTACCAGGGACCCTGTTAGAGGATTATTCTTAACAAAAACAACCATGGTTTTTATAGCTTCAGAAATATGATTCCACTCCAGGAATATTAGTCAACCAATTGCGATCATTGTCACTAAATTTAATTATACCCTTCAAATTCCCAGTAAAGTTATTTGAATCCTCAGTTGGTCTGAATACTTAATACTCAAAACTCTGGTTTATGACTTACACACAATGAAAATTCGGATGGCGTAGAACTTGAATGAGGAGGACTGGTATATCCTATAACAACTCAGGCACTTATAAACCACTGTGAGCCTACCTCGACTCTTTTTTGTCCTTTGATTTCCGAGCTCTAGGGGTTACCTAATAACTTACGAATTCCGAGCGTGCATATTTAATTATATTGCTATATATTTTTACATCGTGGGGTTTTGGGGTTTTGGGGTTTTGGGGTTTTGGGG